ACTACTAGTTTCACTTTTTTTATTTTTGTTGTGATGTTGTTGTTAGGTGCGATCGACTTGGTTCTGACATAGCAACCGTATGTACAAAAGAACAAAACACTGCCTGGTCTTGTGCCATCCTCACTATCTTTGCTATGTTTGAGCCCAATATGCAGCAACTGTGTCAGTCCACCTGCTTGAGGGTCTTCTTTTTTTTAACTTACCGTCTACTTTACCAAGCATGTTGTCCTTCTCCAGTGACTGGTTCCTCCTGATAATATGTCCAAAGTAAGTGAGACAAAGTCTGTCCATCCTCGTTGAGCTTCAAATGAACATTCTGGCTGTACTTCTTCCAAGACAGATGTGTTTGTTCTGGCAAGCCATGGCATATTCAGTATTGTTCGCCAACACCATAACTCAAAGGCATCAATTCTTCTTTGGTCTTCCTTATTCGTTGTCCAGCTTTCGCATCCATATGAGGTGATTGAAAATACAGTGCCTTGGGTCAGGCACACCTTAGTCCTCAAAATGACATCTTTGCTTTTTAATACTTTACAGAGGTCTTTTGCAGCAGATTTTCCCAATGCAATATATCATTTGATTTCTTGACTGCTGCTTCCATGGGCATTTATTGTGAATCCAAGTAACATGAAATTCTTGACAACTTCAATATTTTCTCTGTTTATCATGATGTTCCCCCATGCGTCTGTCAGTTTGTCATGTGGTGGGGGCTTGAGTGTTGCTGTCATGCTGGAAAATATGCCAAAAAAAAAAAAAAACCCTTTGCTGTCGAGTCAATTCCGACTCATAGCAGCCCTATAGGACAGAGTAGAACTGCCCCATAGAGTTTCCAAGGAGCGCCTGGTGGATTCAAACTGTCAACCTTTTGGTTAGCAGCCGTAGTTCTTAACCCCTACGCCACCCACAGTTTCCAAAAACATGCCACTGGTATTCAAATACCAACAGGGTCACCTATGTGGGACAGGTTTCAGCTGAGCTTCCAGACTAAGACGGACTAGGAAGAAGGACCTAGTGATCTACTTCTGAAAGGAATTAGCCAGTGAAATCTTATGAATAGCACCGGAATGTTGTCTGATATAGTGCCCGAAGATGAGCCCCTCAGGTTGGAAGGCACTCAAAATACGACTGGGAAGAGCGCCCTCTCAAAGTAGAGTCGACGTTAATGACGTAGATGGAGTCAAGCTTTCAGGATCTTCATTTGCTGATGTGGCATGACTCAAAATGGGAAGAAGCAACTGAAAACATCCATTAATAATCAGAACATGGAATGTATGAAGTATGAATCTAGGAGAATTGGAATTCATCAAAAATGAAGTGGAACGCTTGAAGATCGATATCCTAGGCATTTGTGAGCTGAAATGGACTGGTATTGGCCATTTTGAATCGGACAGTCAGATGGCCTATGCCGGGAATGACAACTTGAAGAGGAATGGCATTGCATCCATCCTCAAAGAGAATATTTCAAAATGTATCCTGAAATACAACGCTGTCAGTGATAGGATAATATCCATATGTCTTCAAGGAAGACCAGCTAATATGACTATTATTCAAATTTATGCACTAACCACTAAGGCCAAAGATGAAGAAACTGAAGATTTTTACCAACTTCTGCAGTTTTAAATTGATCAAACATGCAATCAGGATGCATTGATAGTTACTGGTGCTTGGAACTCGAAAGTTGGAGATAAAGAAGAAAGACTGGTAATTGAAAATATGGCTTTGGTGATAGAAACGATGCCAGAGATTGTGTGATAGAATTTTGCAAGACCAATGACTTCTTCATTGCAAATACCTTTTTTCACCAACATAAACAGTGACTATACAATATCTCAGGTTGTTAATGAGTCATCCTACAATCCTGATACCAAGTTCTTCTTCATATAGTCCAGCTCCTTGGATTATTTGCTCAGCATACAGATTGAATAAGTATGGCGAAAGGATACAACCAAGACGCACAGCTTTTCTGAATTTAAATCACACAGCATCCCCTTGTTCTGTTCGAACGACTGCCTCTTGGTCTGTGTACAGGTTTCTCATGAGCACAATTAAGTGTCCTGGAATTCCCATTTTTCACAATGTTATCCATAATTTGTTATGATTCACATAGTAGAATGCCTTTGCATAGTCAATAAAACATAGATAAACATCTTTCTGGTATTTCTCTGCTTTAAGGGAGGTTTGCGTCTGGCATCAGCAATGATATTTCTCATTCCATGTCCTCTTCTGAATCTGACATGAATTTCTGGCAGTTGCCTGTCATTGATGTCCTGCTGCAACTGTTTTTTGAATTATCTTTAGCATAATTTTACTTGCATGTGATAGTAATAGTATTGTGTGATAATTTCCGTGTTCTGTTGGATCACCTTTCTTTCGAATATGCAGGTATCTGCATCTCTTCCAGTTGGTTGGCCAGGTAGCTGTCTTCCAAATTTCTTGGCATAGACAAGTGAGCACATCCAGGGTTGCATCTGTTTTGTTGGTATTCTGTTAATTCCTGGAGCCTTGTTTTTCTCCAGTGCCTTCCATTCAGCTTGGACTTCTTCCTTTAATACCATCGGTTCTCGACCATGTGGTACCTCCTGAAATGGGTGAATATTGACCAATTCTTTTTGGTAGAGTGACTCTGTGTATTCCCTCCATCTTCTTTTGAAGCTTCCTCCATCATTCAATATTTTGTCCATAGAATCCTTCAATATTGCAACTTGAGGCTTAATTTTTTCTTCAGTTTTTTCACTTGAGAAATGTCCAGTATGTTCTTCCCTTTGGGTTTTCTAACTCCAAGACTTTGCATATTTCATTATAATACTTTATTTTCTTGATCCTCCATTTGAAATCTTTTTTTCAGCTCTTTTACTTCATCATTTCTTCCTTTCACTGTAGCTACTCTGCATTCAAGAGCAAGTTTCAGAGTGTCTTCTGACATCCATTTTTTTTCTTTTCTGTCTTTTTAATGACTAGTTTATTTCTTTATGTACGATGTCCTTTATGTCATCCCACAGCTCTCCTGATCTTCAGTCATTAGTGTTCAATGCCTCAAATCTATTCTTGAGATGGTCTCTAAATTCAGGTAGAATGTACTCAATGTTGTACTTTTGCTCTCATGGACTTGTTTTAATTTTCTTCAACTTCAACTTGAGCTTGCATATGAGCAATTGATGGTCTATTCTGCAGTTGGCCCCTGGCCTTGCTCTAACTGATGATATTGAGCTTATCCATCATCTTTCCACAGATGTAGTCAGTGTGAGTCCTGTGTATTAATCCAGCGAGGTCCATGTGTATAGTTACCATTTATGTTGTTGGAAAAACGTATTTGTAGTGAATAAGCCGTTGGTCTTGTAAAGTCGTATCATGTGATTTCTGGTGACATTTCTATCACCTAGACCATATTTTCCAACTACTGATCCTTCTTCTTTGTTTCCATCTTTCAAATTCCAATCACTAGTAATTATCAATGCATCTTGATTGCATGTTGGATCGATTTCAGACAGGAGAAGTTGGTAGAATCTTCAGTTTCTTCATCTTTGGAATTAGTGGTTGGTTTGTAAATTTGAATAATCATTGTATTCACTGACCTTCCTTGTAGACAGATGGATGTTATCACTGACAGCATTTTATTTCAGGATAGATCTTGAAATGTTCTTTTTGACAGTGCATGGGATGCCATTCCTCTTCAATATGTCATTCCCAGCATAGTAGACCATATGACTGTTTGATTCAAAATGGCCAGTACCAGTTCATTTCAGCTCACTAATGCCTAGGATATTGACTTTCAAGTGTTCCATTTCATTTTTGATCACTTTCAGTTCTCCCTGATTCATACTTCGTACATTCCATGTTCCAATTGCTGTTTCTTCTCATTTTGAGTCATACGCCACATCAGTCAATGAAGGTCCCAAAGGCTTTACTCAATCCACGTCATTTAGGTTGACTTTACTTTGAGGTGACAGCTCCTCCCCAGTCATATTTTGAGTGCTTCCAACATGAGGGGCTCATCTTCCAGCACTATATCAGACAATCAGATATTCAAATATATTTACATATTATCGTTGCTTATTAATACATCACATATTAGAAAATTAATGTATATTATATACATTAGTATATAATATGAATTAGTTCAATTTATCATGCTCATGTTTATATCATCTTTATTCTTGGATCAGTTTCTCTATAAAGTTTTCTTTTGCGTGCATCTGCTTTATTATTATGGAGTTTTTAATGTTTGATTATCAGAATTTATACTTATAGGTCTCTTAGTAGTTTCTCTGTGATTTACTAAAATCCTTATAAATAGACATGGCATGATTTTATTATCACAAATTGATTTGAGAGGGACAGTAACCGAGGAATTATTTTATTTGCTCCGATTGCCAACTTCCTTGTAATTTGACCATAGTAAATTTTAGAATTTATTTTTCAGATAAAGTCCTGGTACAACCAAAGGAGAGTTTACATCTCACCCTTATACAAAATCCAGTGTTGCCTAATATCTGTATACCCTTCTCATTAACTCTTCGTGAAGGATATTCACAGACTCCGAATGATTGTGATGAATTGTCCCCAGGGAAAATGTATTATTACCAAATATTGTGTACTGTAGTATCACCAGGAATAAATCACAGAAAGAAAATACTGATATTGTTCTGAAAAAGTCACTGGACAATTTTGCTGATCTAATTAAATTACAGTAGATGGGAAGATATGGAATTCAGTTGACTCAATAACTGCAGATTTTAAAAATAAAAATATTTCCAAAAGGTGACATTATAATATTTTCTACACATACAGGGTATCAAAGATGAGCTATTAGGCTCTCATTAGTGACATTTGTACTACTGTAGCTACATACACCTTTGTACTGCTGAAAATGCACTCCAGTTCTTTAGAAGAAGGATTAAAGCCCAGTGAAGTCTCAGTAACTAAAATGCATGAATGCATTCCAGAGGAAAATAATCCCACTTTTCTTTGCCTATTTTTTCCCCCTCTTTTTCACTCTTCAGGGACCTGACAACTGTACAAAGTGCTCCCATTTTAAGGATGGCCCAAACTGTGTGGAAAAATGTCCAGATGGCTTACAAGGGGCAAACAGTTTCATTTTCAAATATGCTGATCAGGATCGGGAATGCCATCCATGCCATCCAAACTGTACCCAAGGGTAAGTGAGCAGCATCCTTGCTGGCCAGGGACTCAAAGGGGTATGTGTTGAGACAAAAGGTATCTTTATCTCATGTATCTTTATCTCAGAAACTGTCTACTGATTTTATCATATTCTCATACAAAACTCTATTAATCTTTATACTTAATGTGTTGATTTTTAAGAGAAAGCCTTTCTAAAAGAAAATGCTTTAAGGAATCACATTTATACACTCTGAAATATTTCTGTTTAACCATTATCTCTAACTATCCTGTTGAGACCTTCATGAAGCTGGTGTCAGGTATACTTTGAATGAATGTAGATATCTTCCAAATTTAACTTTAGATTCAAGATACCAGAAACGACAAGCTGGTAACCATGTTTTTACACTTATTAAATTTTTAACGGGAACTTCCTGTTTCCTTGTTGTCAAAATTAGCTGAAAGTGAAGATATGTCCCTCTGATAAATATGACTTTGGATCACTCCTTCATCAACATCTAAACAAAAGTAGTAATTTTATGAAAAAAATGGGGAACATAGTTATATGTATATTTAAAAAAATGCAAGTATATTCTGCAAAAGTAATTATATTATAAGTTATCTTATAACCTAGAATTTATTTGAGCAATATAGGCTAATTCAAGATGAGTACACACTTTTCTGTTTTTCAACAGTATTCATTATACAATGAATAATAAGTAGATTACCTATGATGATGATTGTATAACAAAGACACATTACAGGAAGAAGAAAAGCACAGAACTATAAAAGAAATAATGCCACTCATCTAACAAATCCCAACAACTATTTCTTTACAAGATCACAAATCCATCTTAGTAAGGACTTTTCTTTTTCTCTCCTCCAGAATGTGAATAGTTTAGAATTGAGTGCAGTTTCACATACTCTATCCTCCTGTCCAAAAACCCTTTTCTGTATTGTGCATGCACGCATGTGCACACACACGCACACATAAACACACACACACACTCTTGTATAGAATCATCTTGGGTACTTTATATCTGGCAGGAAAGTATGAGATTCTCTAAAGAGATTTTCTGCCAGATTAAGTGATAGCTGTTAGGGGATATTGAAGAAGTTAACCAAAGAACATCATTTTCTGCCAAGAAGACATCAGTTTGCAGATGCTGCTACAATTTCCTGCAGGTCAAAAATAAGCTGAAGTCAGTCTGTGAAGTGGCAGATCCTCAAAAGGTAAGTCATATTCTGCCATTAAAATTCAAATCCAGCTTGGGAGAACTAACTGCCAACTCATAGATTTACACATAAGCACATAGGTTGAAGATACTAAAATAGCCACGTAGACATTTTCCTTCAAGGAAATGAGATGTAATAAACTACTACCCTTGTGAGTTTTGGGCCCAGTTGAGTTTAAGAGTATTTCATGAAGAAACAAGTGGTACTTCTGGAACAGGAGAAAGAGTCAGCAGCAGAAAGAGAAAACTTTGCCTGCTAAAATAATCATCCAGAAGAGGGTTTTACTGTTTTGCAGCTAAAATTAAACCAGTAAATTATTCAATATAATGTTGATGTCAACAGCTGTTGCCATTCAAAATGAGACCTTTTGCTGTTTTTACAAATCTAATTACAGTGAGGCCATTAGGGAAACGAAAGTGAGATCGCAGAGATGTAGTCTGGATGTGTGGCTGGTGTCTTCCTCTAAGCCCTTTAAAATCAGGCTTATGTAATAAAAGAGAACATATACAGTGGGAAGAGTAGAATTAGGGGACAATGAAAAGAGATCAATTTACTGCAGCAACAAAATGTAGATCTCAGCCAAAAGGTAGAATAAAGGTGTCATCGGGAACAAATCTTACCAGATCATTTGGAAGCTCCAAGTAAGTGAAAGGAAGTTGCCTGTAGCAACTCAGTGCTGCAGAATTATGGCAAGACAGAATTTTGTATTGTGCACTTTCAGGCATCTTCCAAAGTAAATGGATTCTCTAATGACTGATTTGCTCCTGAAGATTTTGTTGTGTGTTCGTTTTTATTTAGCCTCCTGCTATCATTATTTCGAAAAGCCTCCATAGAGTCCAGATTCACTCATTTCATGTAAACTTCTGTGATCACAGCCCCAGAGCAGAAGTTAGGAGTTGGGCATCCCATATTGTACACTATTGCTCAACAACATTGTGCTTTGAGATTTTTTAATGAGGTGATGAGGCACACTGTGCAGTCAGCCTATCCTTTTCAAACTGAGTATGAAGAGTTATGATGGCTTCAAGAAAGATCACAAGGGCAGTGTTAATGACGGTTTGAATGACATTGTTATTCCTAAATGCATGTAATCACTCACCTATCAGTAAGTGTGAGCTTACCAGACCAGCTCCACTTTTGGAAAACAACTTTTCTTTAAATGCCAGTGTATATGTCAGTTAGGTAATTTGAGAACCGAGTTAATGCTAATAGTCTTTCAAATCATATTTTTTGGAAGGATAGTTCTAATTTTGAATCACGTTTAATGATTTTCTGAAAACAAAATTATCTGTGTAATACCTTAAAAGCACTTTACTACTCTAAAATTACATTATATAGATTTGCTCTATTAAGTTACTTAGATACTTTTTAAATAGGTTATCCATTTAGCTCCTATCAGGAGATTCTCATCAATGTCCATAGAGAAAAAAAAAAAAAGAACAATGTCTCTGTTTACCTTGGCTAGAGGACTCCTATGTCAGCAGCTTTTTCTCATTCTATTCCTTTTTCAGCTTTGTTACATTGAGCACCTATTATGTGCCAGGTATAGTAATAGGCAGGTACGGAAATGAGGAATACAAAATTTTGACCTCAGTGGATTTATGTTCTTAAAATTTATACCTTTGCATTAGAACCTTCTACAAAGTATTTTGAAATGATGAGCAAAAATACACAATTTAGAAATGATTTTCATATTTAACAATAGAAAGAAGTTTAAAAAGAGACCTTATGAACTAAATTTAGTATGTAATTAAATGAGGGCAAGGTCAGGGATTATAGTTTCCTCCCTAACATCACTTGAGTCCCTACTGATTTAATGTCAATTTTGTTTCTAACCAAACCTGTATATTAGATGTGGACTGGAGATGTTTATATCATAGAGCATTTAAAAACCTCATTAAATATTTTGTTAATGTTAGAAATACGATTTCATATTATTAAATTTTATATGTGCCTGAATATTTTTATCATTCCTTTGAATATATTTTAAAATTATATAGTAAAAGAAATCCCACTGCAGGAGAGAAGACAAGAGGGGCTGTTTATGGAATTATTAAGTCTATATGCTTTCAATTGAAATGAAAAAATTATTCCATTTTCATTTTAAAATCATGTGCAGAGTTTATCAAAATATCTCAGCTGTATTGGTTACATGAGTACCTAAAGATGCTTACCTGTTACCGTTGAGTTGATTCTGACTCATAGCAACCCTGTAAGTCAGTAAATACTGCTAACTATTAAATACAGCTCAATATTCAGAATTTATATGTTGTTGTAGAATATGTTAATTAGACATACTATGGTTTCACTTTCTGATCTTTCTGTAAGTATCCTACTTTGAAACATTAATTTTTTGAGAGATTTATTATTCCATATCCTGATTCTGTTCTTTAATTTGGGGTTTTGACTCTTCAAAATCTGGCCCCTATCTAACCCTCCAGTTTCTTCTTTTTATTCTCCCTGTTGCCTCATATTTCTCTCTTGAACAATTCAGAGTTGCTATATTTGTTTATATACACTATACATTTCCCCAGGTCTATGCTTTTGCTCTCACACTGTTCGTTACCCTTTAGAAATCACCGCCATCCTAACGCCAGTTCTCAGCACCCTAAACTTCACTTGCCTGACTCTTCCAGGAGGGTTACCATGACCTTCTGAAGCTAGGCTAGGTATTCCCTCTCCTTGCTCCCTAAACTTCTTTTTTCGTGTCTCTTATTTCATGAGGCACCTCGGAAGACAGGCCTGGTGATCCGCTTCGGAAAGGTCACAGCCTTGAAAACCCTATGGAGCAGTTCTGCTCTGTCACCCTGAGTCGGAATCAACTCGACGTCAACTAACATTACATGTGTCACATTGTACAACACGCATCTGCTTGTACACCTGTCTCCTTCATTATAAATCGTGAGCTCATTGAGAATAGGATAAAAGTCTAATTCATCTTTTCCTCCCTCCAGCTCCTAGAACAGTAGGGGCACTTAGTAGGCATGCAATGCAGATTTTTTAATGGATGAATGAGATCTTTCATTATTCATACTTTCCCCTCAAGTAGAATTTCACTTTCAAATATTTTTGTCTGAAGACATAGATTGCAAACTAATCATGACTTCTCAGATTCTCACTTGGAAAGAAGTAGACTGTTGATTTTACTAAATGGCAATACTCTATGTAAAAAAAAAAATGCATTTTGAAAGATATAACAACCTAGAAACAGGAAGAGAATAAAAAGAAAACCATATAAGACAGTTTAGAAGCTTTTTTAGTGGTTAATTTTCCATTTTTACAGAAGATTTTGATTATGGATTATAGTACCAATGCAAGGCTATGTGCTCTAGTTACTTCTTATTTGTGTTTTTTTTAAGATTTATGTCACAGATGCATTCCCTATATTTCTCTAGGTTAAAATTTTTACTTTACAGTATTGTTCAAAACAATTCCTCAAAACAAAAACAAAACAATTCCCCGCTTAGTAGAAATGTTAAAGCAAATATTGAAGAAGTAGAGAGTAGTGACTTAATTGTCATCATGCATAGTTATATTAGTTTGCCAATATTTAGAGTTATCTAAATATACAATGACAGTCTGACCGTCAATATGAGCACCTTTTTATGTCATTTAATAATTTTAATTTCAGCATCTTTTTTTATTTTGAAAATTAAAGTTTGGGAAAATATATAATCTTTACTACCAGCTATAGTTCTATAAATCTTAGCTGTTGGAAGAATCTGGGTAAAGCCCTGGAGCTATTTATATTTGATGAGAGAAAAGGAAGAAAAAAAAAACAATTTTAGTACATAGGAAGATGAAAAAACAATATTTCTATAAATATTTCAGAATGAAATTCTCAGAACTGGACTTCACAAGTCTGTGTACTTATATAATTCCATTTAAATGTTAATCTCAGTGGCTTCTTTAGTTACTTGCATCTCAATTTATTCATTTCCTTGCAGAGTACTTATTTGTTATTGTTTGAGCTCAATACTGTGGCGGTTTCAAAACCTGTTTTGTTTGCCTGTTATGGTACTGCTATTTTGAAAGAAAGTGTCAAGATAAGCTGCAGTATGGTGAAACCAGTTAATTTGCTTTTTAAATGAATTCATGTTTACACATAAGTATGTTTTAAAGACAGTAACAACCAAGGAATGTAATAATGTGATTATGTAAAGTATCCATGAGAATAGCATTAAAGCATGTTAACTTATTTTCTGTCCCAATCAATCTTAAATGAGCATTAGCATTAGGTGATTATATTGAATAGCGCATGTTTCCTTTTTTTTTTTAAAGATTTTGTTTTTCACTTAAACTAAAGGCCTTTAAAAGAAAATGTATACATGAAACAATTATAGCCATTGAAATATCAAGTTATCATCAAGACCTATAATCATGAATGATGCAGCGAATTGAAAGTATTAGAAATGAGCTGTGTGTGTTTGGAAGTTATCCAGAGAAGCAGGGTAGCATATCTTTTACTCTGGACATATTTCTTTGCATTGCACTTGAGTGGTAATTGCAGTTCACTTCGGTGTACCCATTAAGCAATAATCTTCTCACCAGCTTCAAATTCATGGTGTTCTAAAAATTGTCTAATAATTATAATCAAGAATTTTTCACAACTGGTATTTATCTTCCTGATTCTTTTAAAAATGACTAATTTTTCTTCCCTTGTATTTTTTAAATTTGGATCTTCTGCAGGTGCATAGGCTCAAGTATTGAAGACTGCATCGGCCTGATGGATAGGTACTTGGTGTGCTTGCTTCCCATGTTCTTCCTCCGAGGTTCCATGTGTGAGCACTGATGCATGTGTGTGCATGTCACTGTGAATGGAGAATGATGTTTTCTGTTCTGTAATTGCCTGCAGGTGTAGCGGTCCCACTAGTCATGACTGCATTTACTACCCATGGACGGGCCATTCCACTTTACCACAACATGCTAGGTAACATCTGCCATGTTTCCATTTTGTCACTCAAGTCGTTTCCCAATGATCATGGATAAAAAATACTAACCAGTTGGGCCAGATTTATACTCTCTGAAATTAGAGAATTATCCAAGAGACATAAAACACTATATTTTTTAAGCCACATTGCTTACTGCTTTTTCCTTCATTCATTATGATTTCAGAGTCTGTATCGGTAATGCCATGTTTTAAAATGTTACCCAATGCAGAAAGGATTTTGAATTGCTAATCTAGAACTTTAATAGAATATTTTTGTTCTTAATTCTGTAGATAATTACCAAAACAGTAAGAGAATTTTAAAGGAGCAATTTGCAAAAGTTGTTCTATTTTTGTAAGATGTTTATTGTTTAATCTGATTTGATTTCTGATTTTACATTATTTTCAACTGGTTGGTATAGTCCTTAGGTACCAGAATTACCATAGATTAAAGACAATATAGAAAATGTTTTGTGCAGGTAAAAGTACACCTTGGAATTAAAAAACAAATCTCATATTATTCATGTTCACATAAAAACCTATACACAAATGTTTTTAATATCTTTTTTCATAATCACCAAAAACTAGAAATGTTCTTCATTTATGGTATATTCATACATTACAGCAATACTCAGCAATAAAAAGAACAAACAGCTGATACACACAACAACACGGATGAATCTCAAATGCAATTTGCTCAATGAAAGAGGCCAGATTTAAAGGACTACATATGCTTCCATTTATGTGGCATTCTGGAGAAGGCAAAACTACAAGGACAGAAAAAAAATCGGTGATTGCCAGAGGCTTGGAGCTAGGGGTGAGGTTGACTACAAAGGGGCATGATGAAACTTGAGGAATAATGGAACAATTTGATATCTTGAGTGTGGTAATTTTTGCACAAATTTTCAAAAACTATTGAACTTTGAATTATAAAGGGTAAATCTTACCATATGTAAATTATACCTTGATAAACCCAACTTTTTTTTTAATATCATTTTGAGAAAAATAGTACCCTTACAATCTTATGTAAAAATAATATTAGCTATCTTTATGAAACAAATACGTTGCATCTTTTTGGTAGGAAGAAGGGAAATATTATAATTGGCAAAATAAGAATTTTAAAGCAAATATTACCTTTAAGGTAAACTTTTTTTATTGGAGAATGACATACATAGTAAATAAGTACATAAAACCTAAGTGCAAAGCTCAGTGAATTTCCCAGAATGAAGCATTTGTGTCACCAGATCAAGAAACAAAGCATTACCAGAAGCCAATCCTCATTGCACCTCCTTCCAAAGGTGACAATAACCACTGTCCTAACTTCTAACACCACAGATCAGTTTGCCTGATTTTGTACTTTATGTAAATTGAATCATATAGTATGCATTCTTTGTATCTGGCTTCTTTTGGTATTATGTTTATGAGATTGTTTCATGTCATTAAATTGAATCTTTTTTTTCATATATATGGTATTGTCTTTAAATGTTTTTTAAACAATCAAATAAGTGATATATCATCTTAATATATATTTTTAATGATGTAAGTAGAGAAATCAAATTCTAAGAATGGATGTGCTATATTCAAGTTATTTATACAGCAGTGGCACTTTGACATTTGGGTACAATCAGAACTGTTTAGGACAGTTGTTTAGAGCAAGGTCAAAATTAAGAAATAAATCACAGGAAATATGTAAATATACATAATTACATGTATATGTAGATAGATATATAGAGAGAGAGATTATGAATGAAAAAACCTAAGGTCCAAGGTACAGTTTTATAAGCCAAAGTCCATCTTAGATTGTTTCAAATTTATGAAATAATTGCTTCTCCTTGAGACTTTGGTTGAGTCATTGCACTCACTCTTAAGAGTGTTTTCACATTTGTTTTGATGATTTTCTTGTGACAGTTGATTAGTGAGAGGCTATGCTGTGGTGGTTATGTGTGCTGTCTTTGGAGCCAGATTTTCTGGGTACAAAGTTCAGCTCTGTGACTTATGAGATGGGTGATATTGGGTAAGTTCCTTATATTCTTTGAGCCTCAGTTGCTTGTACAAAATGGAAATATTAATATTGGTAATAAATTGGTTGTGAAGATAGAATGAGTGCATGTTTGCATAGTTTTAGGACAGTGCCTGGCTCATAGAAATTACTCAGTAAATATTATTTCTTATTACTCTATATATCAAGGATTCTCTACCTTGGGAGTGGGGAATATATGTCCCGGGGTGAGGAGGGAAGTTTCTCAAAATTACGTAGACAGCTTTGATGTGTATCTCTACCCTTTTCCTACTAGAGATTCTAATGAGCCCTTTTAAGAAAGGGATGGTGTTTTCTCCCTCTGCAGCTTAAGAATCACTGTCAAATCAAGGCAACTGCCACCAATGGGGGTGGACCATAGGCTGGTTTGCATAGACAGAGAAAAGGCTGATGCCACAGTGATAGAACACTTGTGGTTTGTAACTATTGTAGTTGAGGTTATATAACTTGAAATCATATTTTATCTTATTATAGATTTAATATTTCCAGCATTTAAACAAAATTGATATGGGAAATTTCCATCTTATTGCCTGCCTAGGTTCCCACTCCGTAGTCTGGGTTTCCAGGTCTAGACTAATACACCTGATTCAGATTAGCCTGGTCAGTAACAGAGTATAGATAGTACAGTACAGCCCATCATTCCTAAAAAAAAAAAAACTCTGTAGCCCATTGTACAGGTAAAGAGAGGAGGTTCTTGAATGCGAAAGGCTAGGTGGAAATCTTGGCTGTATTATTTTTCTTATCTGTAAATGGGGATGTTAATGGTAATTTTTAAAATGGAAATTCTTGCATCTCATAAGATGGATGTGAGGATTAATTCAGACAGTGCACAGGAGCTGTTATATAGCATATGCTCACTGGTGGTAATTAATACTCTAGTTGAAATCTGGTCACAAAATTTCATGAGGTTGTGTTCTATTTAGTAATTTAATAGAAGGGCATTAATCCAATAGTTTAGTGATTACAAAATTAGCATATCAAAATTTCTAAGATTTTAAGCATTTAAATTTGTATCATACTCCTAAGTATAATGATATAGACAAATTTGTAGTAGGTTTTGTTCCTTTTAAAAAACTTAGGGTGATCCCAGAGACTATCGCCCTAAGACACACTTTTAACCTGGACCTGAAGCCATGCTTGGAGATCACCTTCCATCCAAATAATAGATTGGTCTATAAAATAAACAGTAACACCTGTGAGGAATGTGATCCTTAGAACAATCAACTGTACTAGACCAAATGCCATTTGCCCAAAAGCAAAGATGAGAAGGCAAGGAAGGGCAGGGATGGATAGATGGAAACAAGAAAGGCAGGGTAGAAATGGGAGAGTGCTGACACATTGCAGGGATAGCAACCAGTGTCACGGAATAGTTTGTGTATGAATTATTGAATGGGAAACTAATTTGCTGTGTAAACTTTCACCTAAAACACAATAAAGTGTTCAAAATATAAACAGCATAAGCTAAACCAAAAAAAAAAAAAAAAAAAAAACTTAGGATGACTTTAATTACTACCTGCTTTGAACTTGTGTTTAAAAACAGTGTGACTATGAACTTCAGTTTTATTGACTTGTCAGATTTAATGGACTCGTCAGAGTCTGTTTATAAGGTAGTTTGGAATTTACTTGAAGGATTTAGCCTGGACACATTGGAAAAGTGTTTATGACCATAGGACATTTTGACACAAATTGGATAAGAAGCAAAACTAACAAGTTATTTCTTTTCTCAGCGTCTTAAATATTACAGTCAATCCTTACCTCTCAGATGGAATAGGTATACATTTGCTTGAAAGCAGGAGACTATTCCAATAGTATTTCAAGTCCTTTTCCATTTCTCAATTCCCTTACATGTTTTAAAACTCTGTCTTAATTGATTAAAATGAGTCTAACTTAATGGGGGCTGGGGCCCCGAGTGGCACAGATGGTTATGTGCTGGACTACTAACTGAAAGGTTAGTGGTTCCCAACCACCTAGAGGCACCTCAGAAGTAAGGCCTGGTGGTCTGCTTTTGAAAGGTCACAACCTTGAGAACCCTGTGGAATGAAATTCCGTTCTGCACCCACGAGGCCACCAGGAGTCGGAATACACTCGAGGGCAACTAACAACAACAACAAACTAGGAGGAAAGAAACGGTTGAAAATAATTGTTTTAAGTTTTCTGAACTGTTCTAACTGGTAGATTATCCAAATGCCTACTTTTCTTTTAATCACAGAAAATTACATTGAACACGTCTATTTGGCCATTTCAAAATATTGAGAGTTCATACTCCCTTAAAAAAAAAACCACTGCCATCAAGTCGATGCCAACTCACAGCAACCCTGTAGGACAGAGTAGAACTGCCCCGTGGGGTTTCCAAGGCTATAAATCTTTACGGAAGCAGACTGCCGCATCTTTCTCCTGCAGAACGGGCTGGTTGTGTTCAAACCTCCAACCTTTTGGTTCGCAGTCAAGCGCTTTAACCACTGCGCCACTAAGGATCCTTTCATACTCCCGACTGCCCCATTATGCTGCATGCTGTTTCCTGAACAGCAGGAAAGAAGATTGAAGATTTAAATGAAAACAGGTGAAATGTTTCCAATCTTGATCGACTTTGATTTTCTAAGCAGTGTTATTTTTTCCCAAGCCTGCAATTTGTGAATTGGTTTCAGCACTCCATTTACTTTACAGGCTACTGCTGCTGGAATTTCTTCCAGGAAGATTGGATAAGATAGAATAGAATTTTTTTTTACCTTTTGTCTCCTAGAATATGCTATTTATAATGAAAATAATACTCGATATTTTAGAACTTCTCCTTACTTTCTTTATCTGAATTAAGTGCCTTAAAAATAGCATTTACCTTTGATGGTTTTGCTTTTCCATCAAGAATCCTATGAGGAAATACATTCAGCAAGTTTTTTTTTTCTTCTTTTTTTTGGATAGTTTCTATTTTAACTTCAACATATTCTATTTTCACATAGATTCTGATAGT